CTCCCTAGTCTCACTATGTAGTTGAAACTGACCTGGAACTCACTATGTAGCCCAGGCTGGTTTCAAACTCACAGCGATCCTCCTGACTCAGCCTCCAAGTGCTGGGATTACAGGCCTGTGCCACACCATTCCCGGCCTGGAATTATCTTTGATAGGAAAGACATCCAGGAATCACTCTTATACTTCCTTGCTACTTGATACCCCGTCATACACAGTCGATCATGAAGTGTTGATACTGTGCCTTCAAACCATTCACTTCTATTTCCTTTTCCTCCCTTTTTTTAATTTTATTTTTTTAGACAAGGTCTTACAAGGTATTTCAGACTGCTCTGGAGCTCACTGTGTAGCCCAAGCTGGTCTCAAACTATCAGTGATCCTCCTGCCTCAGCCTCCCGAGTGCTAGGATTTCAGGCCTACGCCACCATGCCAGCTCTTTCTCCTCCATCTTAAAAGCATATCTTGTAGGAATTCTATTTTCAAATAAAATGAATGACTTTATATATAGCTTTGCTTTTTTATTTATTTTTTGTTTGGTTTTTTTTGGGTACCAGGGATCAAACTTGGGACCTTGTGCTTGTGAGGCAGGTGGCAGCATGACTGAGCTAAATCCCTGGCCCTAGCTTTGCTTTTTGAATCATATGAATATATCACCCACACAGGAATGCAAATCCTGTTTCCCATATCATCATCTCTTCCCCAAACTTTACACACCTCGGTGAAATCCTTCATGACAAAGATTTCCTAACACTCTAAGGCTGCATGTTTTGTCCTGGTTAGGTCTCCATATTCACCTGGAGATGTGCTTCCTCCTCTCCCGTATGCACCAGTGGAGCTAGCTTTCTTCATTTTCTCAAAGGCCACTTGCTCTTCTTACTTTCCTTTTATGATTTTGTTCTTGTTCTTGGGAACCTTGTACCTTCTTTGTCTTGTTATTTCATAGTCACCCTTCAGATCTTGGCTGCCAAGATAGCTTCTTTAGGAACTCTATTCCTGACTTTTTAAGACAAGAGCAAGCCTTACTGTTATTTACTCATAGATCTTCCCTTCACAGAATCATTTAGACTTTGTATGCATTTGTTGTTGTTTTTAGTTTATTAATCATTTGCCCAAATCCCCTTATACTATATACCCTAATGGTGGGCTAAAGTATGTGAAATTAAGAAATCAGAAAGAAATCAAAAGGCAGGAGGATGGGATATTAAATGAAAAGTATCAAATGCATTAAAGAATGCTGTTTTAAAATACTGTTTTGTTGATTTATTTTTCTTTTCTTTTTGTTTGTAGAAAATCTCTTTGCTCTGTCTAAAAATGTATAGATGATGCCTTTAAATTGTTCCTTCCCCAGTCCTCAGGCTCTCAGGTCAAATTCTTAGGTTCCAAGTGTGAAATCACATGGATCGGCATTTCATGTATTAACTATTAGAAGCGTCATCTTGGTGAATTTTGCAGAGCACCAAACATCATGTATGTAAATATATTTCTAATTTTGCCTTATTACATAATGACATTTAATCACTCCATTTCATTGATAATCAAATCATGTTAAGATTTATTTAAGGGTGTAATTATATTAAGAAGCTGAAATTTGAATACATCTGTTCTACTGATCACCACATATTACTGTCTCCTGGATCTGCATTGCAAGAGGCCCTGGTCACTATGTCAGATTATCTCCATGTGACCATTACACCTTCAGGGATGATGGGGTAACCCAGGACCTTCAGAAACTAAACCTTCACTTCGGGGTGCAGAGTGCAGGTTGGCTCCTTAACCATCTGACCTCAACGCGGAGTGCAGCCTGGCCAGGTGCGGGCATTCTGGAGAACTTAGAAATTCAGTCAGTCAACTTCATACAACCTCCTCGCATGTAACTTCTGTGATGAGAGCTTGACTACCCTTCCTGTGTGATAATCTGGCTTGGGTGTGACAGGAACATATTTTAGTTCCTAGTGTATCACATTGAAGCAGTGTAGATTTACTTTTGTACGTGTTCCTTATATAGCTCAATTTTCAATAATAAGTTCCATTAAGTACACAAAGTTATTTCTATTGCTTTGGAATAATTTTATTTTTCAGAAACAAATAAGGTTCCACATCCATTTATCCCAAGTGTGTTTCTGTATTTATTATTTAGTATTATTTGTGATTAAACACATGTTATGTTTTCCCCCTTCAAGAGCCATGTGCAATCTTCTTTGAGTACAAAATGGTTAGCAAAAATCCACTTTGGAGCTTTCTGCTTTTCGGCGAAATGAATGTGCTTGACAGAAGTAATTGAGTTCACACGAATCAAATGTTACCTGCTGAGTCCTCTTGTGATTATGTTGCTGACTTACTCAAATGCAAGACAAGACCACTAATCTTCATCAGT